GGGTGCTGTCACACAGAGCGCCGATCGGGCACCGTGTGAGCGCACCGATCAGGTGCAGCCTTGCGGTGCTGATCGGGCACAGTGTGAGGGCACCAATCAAGTGCAGTCACACCGTGCCGACCAGGCACCATGACAACTACAGCCTTAATGAAAGCTGTCAGATCCTACTTTGGAGCTTACTTTAGCTCTGTTGAGCTAAGCACAGACAGAACTTCTATGCAGCCCTAGCCACAACTTGTTGTGACACACACAGACTCCTTACACACTTCCTGAAAAAGAGCTTACATTTTTAACTTTCTTTAGGGCACAGTGTGTTTAATTTTGAATTTTTTTTATTTTTTACTCTATTAATTGCCTGCTTGAACCTGCAGTAGCCTCCTGTGTTTGATTAAAGTTCATGAAACTATGTTAGTCACAGTCAGGGAAGGCGTGGCTAGGGCTACATAAACAAAGCTATTTAACTCATAAATGTCAAAGAATTGAGCAGGGTCACAAACTATATCCCATAATAATTTACTTAAGTTAAGTTTGTATTGGTGCTTAGAATATCCATTTAACAAACTATTGAAAATATTCCTCAGCAAAAGTGGTAAGTGGAAGTAAACTTATGAGGATGCACATGGTGTAGAAATGATCTTTGGATGGTCTACATTAGAGAGGCATAGGATGCATTATTGAAATATTCTGAACAATACAACAGGTGTACATTATATTATATAATATCTATAATTCACCAGATGTCACAGGGTCCAAATGTACCTCCAGTGACCCTGGTGGAGAAGCTTAAGTTACTGTTACGGCTTGATGCTGTTTTGAGCTTTGGAGTGGCTCAACATTTGGTAAGCCTGAGGATGTCTGTCTCTGTCCAGCTTCTCTGAGAAGTGATGAACAGAAGGAATTAGGTCAAAAATGACATTTCAAAAAACATTTGTAGGAGAAGCACTGATAATCCAACTAACAATATAAATATGGCAGCAATATGGATAGTTGTTATCACAGTGATCCAGGAACAGTGATCCTGTGTATCTGTACCTTCTGGTCTATTTATAGCCACCGTCTATTTGATCCCCAGAAAATTTTCTATTTCCAGTTATCTTTTCCCAAATTGTTCACATCTCACACAGATACAGTGAAGATTAATGAAAGGTTGACAAAGCTGTAATTCCACATTTCCTAGTGAACTACCTTCAAGCTACACTTGGCATAAGCATTTTTCTTCAGACAATTTATGCAGATCACACAATAGCATTGTGAGACATCTATTTATGTATTATTTATACAAAGTGTATTGAGAAAAACCTCTCTTTAATAAATTGGTTCTTTCTATCAACCAGGGCCGGCACAACCATTAGGCGAACTAGGCATTCGTCTAGGGCGCCGGCCTGCTGAGGGCGCCCACCGGGATATTTCCTGGTGGGCTGCCTTTCCCTGTCTGGGGCCACAGTGGTGGGTGAGTGGCTCTTGAGCTGCCCCCAGCGCCGGGCTGATTCTTGATGGCAGGTGCCTGCTCTGCCAAAAATGCCAGTGACCAGGAGGAGAGGGGGACGGAGCAGGCAGGCGGGGATGGAGGCTGTTCTTGCAGTCTCTCACTCCTCCCTTGCACACCCTCTGTGATGCCGGGAGCCGGGAATATGACATCATTCCGGCCCCAGCATACTAAACAGCGTGCGGGAGGAGTGAGAGGCTGCCCCACACTGGACCTCAGAGAGGTGAGTGTTTGACTGTCAGTGAGTGTGTGTGTGTGTGTGTGTCAGTAAGTGTCTGCCTGTGTGTGTGTGTGTGTCTGTCTGTCAGTGAGTGAGTGTATTTATGTCAGTGAGTGTGTGTGTGTGTGTGTGTGTCTGTCAGTGAGTGTGTTTTTGTATGTATGTCAGTGAGTATCTGTGTGTGTGTGTGGCTGTCAGTGAGTGAGTGTGGAGCTGCCCCACACTGGACCCCAGGCAGGTAGCAAGGCTGGATGTCTGAGTCTGTGTGTGAGTGTGTGAGTGTTTGACTGTCAGTGAGTATGTGTGGGTGTCTGTCAGTAAGGGAGTGTATGTATGACAGTGAGTGTCTGCCTGTGTGTGTCTGTCTGTCTGTCAGTGAGTGTCTCTGTCTGTCTGTCAGTGAGTGAGTGTATGTATGTCCGTGGATGGCAGAGGATGAGAGGGGTTACTGGACTGGCAGAGGTTGATGGGGAAGGCTGGGCTGGCAGACGGTGATAGTACTGGCAGAGGGTGATAGGACTGGCAGAGGGTAAATGGCAGAGGATGATGGGGTGGCTGGGCTGGCAGAGGGTGATAGTACTGGCAGAGAGTGATAGGACTGGCAGAGGGTAAATGGCAGAGGGTGATGGGGTGGCTGGACTGGCAGAGGGTGATACGGATGGCAGAGGGTGATGGGGTTGCTGGGCTGGCAGAGGGTGATAGTACTGGCAGAGAGTAATAGGACTGGCAGAGTGTGGATGGCAGAGGATGATGGGGTGGCTGGACTGGCAGAGGGTGATTAAACTGACAAAGGGTGATGGGGTGGCTTGGCTGGCAGAGGATGATGGAGGTGTCTGGGCTGGCAGAGGGTGATAGGAAGGGCAGATGGTGTTGGGGTGGCTGAACAGGCAGATGGTTAAGGGATGGAAGAGGGTGAATGACAGAGGGTGATAGGGGTGGCTGGACTGGCAGAGGGTGATAGGACTGGCAGAGAGTGGATGGCAGAGGGTGATGGGGTGGCTGGACTGGCAGAGTGTAATAGGACTGGCAGAGGGTGATCGGGGTGGTAGAGAGTAGTGTGGTGGCTGGGCTGGCAGAGGGTGATAGGGATGACAAAGGGTGATAGGGGTGGTAGAGAGTGATGGGGGTGGCAGAGGGTGATAGGGGTGGCTGGGCTGGCAGAAGTTGATAGGACTGGCAGAGGGTGGATGGCAGAGGGTGGTAGGGGTGATTGGGCTGGCAGAGGGTGATAGGGGTTGCTGGGCTGGCAGAGGGTGGCACAAGCTGTTCCTCACATGACTCTCAAGCTGCCTCTCACAGAGAGGCAGTGAGTGAGTGTATGTATGTCAGTGATTGTCTACCTGTGTGTGTTTGTCAGTGAGTGAGTGTATTTATGTCAGTGAGTGTCTATCTGTCTGTGTGTCTGTCAGTGACTGAGTGTATGTTTCTCAGTGAGTGTCTGTGTGTGTGTGTGTCAGTGTATGTCTATCAGTGAGTGCCTGCCTGCCTGTGTGTGTGTGTGTCTGTTTGTCTGTCAGTGAGTGAGCATGTGTGTCAGTGAGTGTATGTCTGTCAGTGAGTGTCTGCCTGCCTGTGTGTGTCTGTCAGTGAGTGTCTGCCTGCCTGTGTGTGTCTGTCAGTGAGTGCCTGCCTGTGTGTGTGTGTGTGTGTGTGTGTGTCTGTTACTGAGTGAGTGTATGTGTGTCAGTGAGTGAGTGTATGTATGTCAGTGACTGTGTGTCAGTGAGTGAGCGAGTGTATGTCTGTCAGTGAGTATGTGTGTCTGTCAGCGACAGCGAGTGAGTGACATGAGGGGGCGGCAAAATTGATTTTTGCCTAGGATTGCAGAAATCCTTGCACTGGCCCTGCTATCAACATACTTTTATCTTACAGATTGTGGATAAGTATGTGTTTTGTTATCTGACACATTTTCTATGCATTCCACAAGTTGAAGAGTAGTTTTCAGGCAAGTGCAACAAGTTTTTCCTTAGTTCACATTTAGTGGAGGTTTCAAAGTATTTTTATGCAGCTGCTCACAGGAAATTAAATTTTACTGCACACCTCTTGTAGAGGATTAGTTCAAATGATTCTCATTAAAACTATTCCCTGGGCTCCTGTATCGATGAGAACAGGTGCCTAATGCCTGTTTGTGCATGCTTTTCTATTCAAAGACATGCTAAACTCACTTTGCAATATGCTACAGCAATTTCAACCATGATAATTTTATATTTGTACAGTTACATATTGATTTTAAGAGGAAACCTGCAACAAATTAGTACACAAGCTAAGATTAAATTCCTTCACTACTGAACTTGTTTTTTTTTTGTTTTTTTTAAATGGGATGCATAGCTACCACATAAACATAGAACAAAATAACTATTTTTTGTATAAGTTGCAGTTATAGAAATGGCTTAAAATTATGTAAATTTGCACAATTCATGTTTTTCATTTCTTTAATCACCTGTTGTTTATATAGAAATTTTAAATGGACAAAACAAGATTTTTTTTAGCAGCACAGAAGCTTAAGTGTGTGTTAAATAAAGTAGATAAATTAATCTGATAAAACATCTTGCTTATGGCTATTTTTCAGACTACTTATGACTTTTTCTGGAATGTATTTTTCCATCAAAATGGAAAAAAAAATATTTAGAAGGAATGTCATCAAACATTAAATAAAACTAAAACAGTTCAAACAATTGTAGGCATTAAGTTTCTAGTGCTTATAGTTGAATGTTGAAGGAATACCAGAGAATTGAACGGTGAGACTTCAGAGGCAAGATCTTTATGCAAAACTGCTTCATTAAGCTAAAGTTGTTTTGGTGACTATAGTATAATTTAAAGTCTCCCTTATGTCCATTGACCTTTTACATGCCTGATACTTTTGTCACTAAAGTACATTCAAAGTACTTTCACTGCTTCTTGATGGCTAAAAATAAGGAAATAATGACTTTGTGTGTATCACCGTATATGTACATGTGTATGTGTCTCTGTATGTGTATCTGTGTTAGTATGTGTGTGTGTCTGCATCAGCATATGTGTGTATCTGTGTTTGTCACTGTGTGTATCAGTGTGTTTATCTCTATGTGTGTTTTTGTATATCTGTTTCAGTATGTGAATGTATCATGTGTGTATGTTTGTGTCAGTGTGTATGTGTATGTGTTAGTATGTGTGTGAATCTGTGTGTCAGTGTGCATGTGTATCTGTGTAAGTATGGGTGTGCGTCAATGTGTGTGTATATCGGTGTGTTTCAGTTTCTATGTGTATTTATGTCAGTATATATGTAGCAGTGTGTATATTTATATGTGTTAGTATGTGTATGTGGCAGTGTATGTGTATATGTCCATGCATCCCAGCATTAAAATGCCATCACTGCACGCAAATGCACACCTACATGAAAACGTCATCAATACATACAAATGTACAACTGCATTCAAGTGTGAACACTACATAAAAAAAACACACCATTGCATTCAAATGGCAACTGTACATACAAATACACTACTACATTCGCACACATGCTTCATGCAACACCACGCTACCATTCAAACACACAAACACAGCTCACAAATACAACCCTGCAAGGATGGGAACATGGGAGATCTCCAGCTGGCAAAGCATTATGGGAGTTACACAAAAGCAAAGAATCTACCTTTTGGTCATCCTTACGCTAAAGGGGGCCCCAAAAAATGTTTTGCACTAGGGATCTCTCTAAACTGCCCACTGTTGTATTGCAGTTTCCGATTATGTTTTTATCTGTTTAAAGTAAGCTTTGTTTAAACAATATCGCCCTGCAAAAATATGGTTGCCAGTTCATTAATTTTTATGTAATGCTTGAAAATTCTTTATTTGGTAAACCAATAATTCATTTATTTATTTGGAATAACATCCACAGTCAGTTAATTGATCTCACACTAGGGAAATACATGCATTCCAAATACTCTCAGGTAGTATTTTAAAGTCCTGCCCAACGCAATGAAAATTCTGAAGCCTTCAGCAGACAGAATGATGAAATGACAACCCTGAATATAAATGAAGGTATGGTATTTTTCATTCGAGACAGATCCAATTATAATGTTTTAGTTATTTGTATTTATAATATAACATTATAATAAAAAACTACAAAAACATATTCTTCTACATGAGATCACAATTCCAAACCAAATGAAAGATATTCAGCACGTTTGCTGAAATAAAAATTATTGTTATCGTTGCCATCATTAGGATGTATCTTTAATACATGCCATACTTTAAAATGAAAACTAGAGGGCAGCAATTTCAAGGTAATTTCACACCAAGAAGCAGAAAGTCTATTTATCGTGAGGTTTTAGACATTGAAATGCCATAATTTATTTAGAATGTAGCCTTCTGTAGCACTGCACATTCCTAAAGCAATAAATACATTTATCAGGAGGGTCATATACAGTTTAAAAATAAATGTTCTTGATTCGAGGACCTTGTTTACATGTTCTTATTACAAACTAGAGAATTGTTTTTATTCCAAAACTTGTGTTCTAGTTTCAGATGTTTGTTCTTGAATTTTCTGATAATATATGAATATTTAAAAAAAAATTATATATTATATAACTCATATAATATAACGTAAATTCTACTTGGCACTCCACCAACAAAAAAACTAAAGTAAGAAATCTGCCATGGGTGCAATCCCGCGCTAGATATATAGAAAAGCGAAGTTTAGGGAGCAATCACAGGTCTTCAAAGTATGCAAATAGTGTTTAATTGTGTCATCCAAAATACAACTGTGTTATAAATCAAATCAAGTTTTGATCTGTTCGGGTCTTTATCAAGAACATCTTGATAAAGGCCAGCGGGTTGAAACGTTTATTTTCTTTATTTGATACAATATAACCTACTATTTTTTTTAAAAATCCATTGAGTGCTCTCATCTCTTCATTTCCTATACAAACCTAACGCTGTGCAGCACCGTGGTTATATGGATTTAAAGTCAGTAAAGGTAGAGTGCCAGAATTTTCATTTTTCTTTTGTGTATATATATATATATATATATATATATATATATATATTTAAAATAAAAAAGAAGTGGTACTCACAAAAGGAGAGCAAAAATAGTTTTTGCTCAATCAGATAGCATAGGTGGTATAATCCCCTTCAAGGATATTTCAGGAATCCTCTTATTAAAATCTTTTAAAGGCAACCAGGAGGGACCAAGGTACAGATAAAAATATAAAAATACACTTGACTCGTTTTGCCAATAACAGGCTTTCTCAAAGTGGTTATAATATAATATAATATATATATATATATATATATATATATATATATTGTATTATAATATATATGTATGGATTATAATATAATCACTTTGAGAAAGCCTGTTATTGGTGAAACGAGTCAAGTGTATTTTTATATTTTTATCTGTACCTTGGTATCTATTTTTGCTCTCCTTTCATGAGTACCTCTTCTTTTTATTTGAATTTAATAATGTTCTTATCAGTGAACACTATTGGCTGTTTTTATTCTTTAATGCTACATCTACATCGGTGATTTGCTGCTATTTATGGAATTGGATTCCTATTCCTTTCATCTGGATCCTGACAAACTTCCTGAGAAGACTTCACTGCACCATTATATCCACACGGGGCATCAAACGGCCAAAACGCTGTAACTTCGAACTGATCAACAAACTCCAATAAACTGTAAGTGCATTTTCATATTTTCTTTACCGCATATAAGAACATACTACACTATATTGTGTTTCCTGTCCTCTTATTTTACATATGTTCTGATTTCTATCTGGACTTATTGGTGAATTCATAAAAAGAGTCCTATACCTTACTTTAAAGAGTGAAATTTAAGACATCACAATCATGCCTAATTTATCAAAATATTAACAGAGCCATTTTGCCTTATAAAATTCAACAGACAAATAGACTTGATGTCACTGAAAATGCTTTTCAGCTAATTAACTACTTCCTATAAATGAGCAAATTGTTTTACAATAGATATTCTGTGTGCTCTGTTATGGTCCAGCTTATATGGTCCAGTTGGATAGATAGTAATATCTCCCCAAATCTCACCACGTTTAGCAACCACATCAGCCAGAGTCCCAGCACAAACTGGAATTGCTTGACTGTTCCTTTGACGTGTATTGCATTGAACATCCGGTGGGAGATGGTTTGGCTCATAGTCACTTAATGGGAGTGGTTTGGATTTAATGTTCCGTTTGCCCGTTTTGAAAAATGGCAAAAATGCCCAAAGTTCACATAGTAAACCGGAATACACGATATAACAAAAGAAAAATATATATTAAAATCAAATAAAGATTTGTAAATTAGAATAGGGCATATATATAAAACTAATTATACACTTTGTATCAATTAAAATAGTGTCTGGTTATATCGATATATGCTTTGTAGGAAGAGGCACAGAGTAGTGTTAAGTAGAGGAGGAGTAAAAGTAGGAATGTGATAAAACTTTAAAACATAAATATGAAGAAAATAATGTTACATAAAATGATCCCTTCTTAGATAAACCTATAAAATACTATTTATCTCAAAGTCAATATTGAGACCTATTGGTGTTAAGGTGCGCATTTACTAAATCCATTTCACCTCTTGGGTACTCAATTTTTTTGGGGAGATTTCCTCATCTCCAGTGCAGACTTTTATATTGCACAGAATTCTAGAGGTTTCGTATCTGATCCATGTTTATCTAGAAAATGTTTAGATACACTATGGTTGGTGAACCCTTTCTTTATATTTCTTATGTTCACCAATTATGACTTTCATAGGCCTAGACGTTTTTCCCTTTTATTGGTATCCGCATCTGCAATTAAGTAGCTATATAACATTGTTCAAATGGCATGTAATTAGAGATTTAATTTTGAATTCTTTTTTTGTAACGGAAGAACTAAATTCCTTTACATTTTTGTTCCATATATCTTTATTCTTACATGCATTGCACATCCCACAGTGAAAAAAAACATTTTAACTTCTTGACCAATTAGTAAAAAAATTGCTTTTATCCTAAACTTATTTTTCTAAAAAGCTGTTTGCTAAATTCTGTGAAAAATGTTTGACCCCCCATAGAAACAAATTTGTGTTTAGAACCTATAAGCTCTTGTACTTCACCGGAAGAAGTGAAGACCAATGCTCACCACTGAAAAGCCATCACAGGAAGTGACGCAATGATGAACGAAATGGAATTGAAAAAAAGGCTAAATATAAGCATTGCTCACATCTTGGGTTGGGAAAGGACACTATGCTCTGGACAGGACGTGCTGCCATATTGGGGATGGCAGCATACATCCGGTCCTGACCATATTTGGCTGTGGGTAGTTTTTACATATATATATGTTTTAAATTGTTTGTCTTATTTCCTGGCATATATACAGCCATACATGTTCAGTCTGAGAAATACATGCGGTAAAAACAGAATAAGGGACAGCGCTAATAGGCCACAGAGAATATAAAGAGAGTGTAGGCAGCACACCTATAGGTAGAGGGGTCCCCTCTTATCCCCTCAAAATGAATAGGATGAAAAGAATAACAAAAAGAAAGGATGTGCCTTCAGAAAATAGTATTATTATAATAATGGTATGTATGACATATGTAATAAATTAATAAATAAATAGATTAAAAATAGTCCAAATGACTTAACACTGATCCATACAAGGTTGTCCGCCAACAGTGGACGAGCTGTCCATTCACCCTATTCTGCACACTGACTGTGTGCTTTCTAGTGCGGTCGTCGCGGGGCTCCTCCCCCACGATGACGCAATGCCTTCTGACACCAGCTAACAGCCCTCCCCCCTTCCCCTTCCTTATGACCAATGCGTCTCATACACATAGACGTATGTGGTCCAAAAGAATACCACGTGACGCGGAAGTATTTAGCCGCGAGTCACGTGATTCTTTTTAACTTGCGATTTTATGTATTTATAATCCTCGTTTTTAAATATCAATGTTATGTATCATTCCCTATTACATATAAGAATAATCTGTATGTATTTAATTTCAATTGTATTGACATGTAATTATGTATATATTTAACATGTTAAAGTGATGACGTCATTTTGGTGGGACTTTTGAAAATGGCATTTTAACTACTGTTCCTATATAAACACTGTTTGTCAGGTCTATGCTCTTTTAATAGATCATTTTCTACTTGAAGAAGCCCATGTGCCGAAACGCGTCTGGAAACTTTTTTACCTTGTTATAATAAAGGAATTTTTTGGCTCGATATTATTATTGCCATATTCCTTTTATTATTTATTTATTATCATTTATTTTATATATTTGACCTGACATCATTGTTTTTATTTCATTCTATTCAAATTTATTTTTATTTTTATCTATATTTATTTTTATCTATATAATTTTTCTATTTGACATTTAGGAAGCAAAGAATCCCTAGGTGGGGAATATACCACCCATATGCCACCCACCGAGTAGTTTCTACATACCTTGCATATCCTTGAGTGGGGATTGTTCCACTTTCACGTTATTCATACCAGAGCTGGATTTAGCTCTTAACATTGTGAGTAGTTCATAATTACTTCCAAGCACCTTATTTCCATATATACTGTCCCATTGGAGTTCTCTTTCTTCTGTTTTTTTCATATATTCTACCGGATCTCAAGTCTCCATCTGTGACCATCCACTCCATAAGTTGGCTCTATAAGGACTTTTTCCACTGTTGGCGAACAACCTTGGATGGATCAGTGTTAAGTCATTTGGACAATTTTTTATCTATTTATTTATTAATTTATTACATATGTCATACATACCATTATTATAATAATACTATTTTCTGAAGGCGCACCCTTTCTTTTTGTTATTCTTTTCATCTGAGAAATACATGCACCTGAGGAAGACCTTCTAAAGGTTTAAACGCATCGTGCTACTTTTTTTTTGTTTTTTTAATAATTTGTCAAATATTCACCTTTTAATACTTACCCTGGAGTTCCTGTGTTGTAGCAGTGCTGAGTTCCTGAGGACGACTATTGGAAATCTCTGAGATGAAAAGCACCTTAAGTACAGAGCCAACTTTTAATGGGCTCTGAAAATTGTGAGTTTGAAGAAATATTCTTACGTACATATATTATCACATATACAGATTACACTATGTGTGTTTTTTAACTTATTTAATATAGGTAAAATAAATTTCTGTGTATTGGTTACCAATGAGAAATTGAGTGTAAAGTAAACTAAAATATTTATTTCTTTATCACCTTATCTTTTTCTAATTTTATTATGTGTTTAAGTGTAAAGAATGACATTACACATGGGTAATTTTTAACTGCACCAGTCTGTCTAATTTTTAAAAAGCGCCATTCTGTCCTTTATTTTTATCTCTGACTGTTCCCTTGTCCGACATCACTTCTCTGGAAGGAAGTAATGTAATGTAACTTCCTCCTAGAACACACACGAGGGAGGACAAAAGAGGTTCTGGGCTGCCTAAGTCATGTGTGTCAGCGGTGCAACTAGACCCCAGCACAAAAGTGCGGATTACTCTGTACAGGCAACATTTCAAGTGGAAACACCGCACATACAGATTGCTTTCCTTATGACCACTTCTAAAGGCAGAGGTGATTATGGAGATTGGAGCAACACCTAATGTGCAAATGCACTAAAGATATTATTTTACCATGCATGATAATTAACTAACGTGTGAATTGCTAGGAATTCAAACAAAGTTCGAAAATAATTGCAAATTTTAGGCCAAAGAAGCAAAACCGAAAAAACATAGCTAACTTGAAAAAAGTTTCTAATTTGACTATTTTGGCCTAAAACTTTTTCTTTAATTCACTTTGAATATCTGACGAGTCACATTTTATATGTATAACCCTGATAACAAAAATGTAAAGACAATCTTTCAACAATCTTCCCACAGATGATCATTTTTCCGAAATATTTCTTAACATCTTGAGGTGGAGCACTCAGCAGACCTTCATTTTGCCCAGCCAGGAATTGCATAAAGTTTAACACATACAAAAATTCTGTATCTTGTTCTCATAAATATGTTGAGAATTAAAACCTTAGTGATATCTGCATTTAATTTACCCAAAGGAGAAATAATGTGAAATACTTGCTTCTTTCCTCAGAAAGAAAAAAAAGGAAATCTGTTTCTCACATGAATGTAAACCCAAGTATGCTTTTTTTGTTCTATTCCCAGTCCAAAAATATGATTAGATCACTGAGCCTTCCAGGTCAGCTGCTCGTATAACAGGTTAGGTAACGCCTTTGTGCCACTGTTCTAGGCAGACCACCATGATTGTAGTTTATATATTTAAACCTGAGTTAGATGGTGGCAGAACCACAAACCATTGTATGTTATTAGCAGTGGGGTTACAGTAAATGATAGACAAACAAAAATCTTCACACACTAAAGTCTGCTTCTCCCAACAGTAAACACATGTTATTAATGAAACATTTCAAAACACATTTCTTTGCCTGGTAAATCAAATCCTTCAGCATGACTGACAAGACTACATTTTCCTAAGAGCACTAAACAAACAATATAAAAGGTTATTTTGGCTTTGGGAGAGAAACACATTCAAATGATAAAAATCAGAGAGTGGTTACTTCCAAAAATACTAAATCAAACTCTTCTGTCTTTTCTGGAAAACCGGGCAGGATTCCATTTAAAATGTGCGTATTGCAGCATTTTATACACTAGATCTCCCTTTTCTTTTTTAGCCATGGGATCAATCTTTCTCCTATATGTCTGTCCATACAGCCATCCATCCATCTCTCTCTATATACATAAATTCAGGCAGGCAGGCAGGCAGGCAGGCAGACAGACACATAGACAGATAGACACATAGACAAACACATAGACAGATAGATAGATGAATAGATACATTGATTAATTGATTGATGTATAGACAGACTTGTGCACAGGGAAAAATTGAGTTTGGTTGAATTGATGTCCTACTTACCTTTCCATCTTGAAAAGAACAAAGCTGTCCCACACATCAAGTCTATAGCGTGAATGACCGTCCTTCAGTTTGGAGGAAAAAAAAACAGTGACCTATCAGCTTATGCATGTCACAGAGTATTAACCCTAACACGCAGAGTTTAGGATAGCAAGGAACGGATTAATGAAATATAAACGTCTTACTGGGCCTTAGAGTGGCCGGACTTAATGTTAGACAGAGAAAAGTATTTGAAATATGAGCCGAGGTCAGGGTAATGGAGAGACAGCGGAAACGAGAGCTAGCCAGAGTTAGGTACACAGTAAAAATCAGAAGGGTAAACAAGACAGGCAAGGATTAAAAAGAAACTCAGAGTCAGGAAACAAAGCCAAGGTCAATACCAGAATAATATTCTAATCACAAGGAACGCACTAAAGGGTACTGGGAACAGAAACCACAATAGGGCCCATAATCTAGGGCCAGGTAAGTTTAAATACTTTTATTTTTAATTTGATTGGTCCATGTCACGTCTGCGCCCCAAAACGTGCGTGAATGGGGGCGTCAGAATGACATGGGCCAATGGGAGCTGGCCGAATGTTAAGGCTTTAAGTATGTGCTCATGATGTAAGTAGCGTTCCCAATACTCTACAGGCCGCGCTTTTGATCAGACTGTTCGGTGCGCGCGGCCAGCCAGGAGTAAGGTTTTTTTCGAGCCGCGTGCGGCTCGCCTGAAGGCAAGAGTGCTTGAGCTGCATGCGGCTCGATAAGAGGACCCCTGCCGGAACCGGGTGGATACCATCACAATGCAGAATGCATCTACGGAGGAAGCAGGGATATCCACTCCACAAGATTCAGGTAGAATGAAACCACTAAAATGAAAGGCATTTACAACCATCACACAACTCTCCCAGACTTTAGAATGCATTTTCTTCTACAAAGTGTTAAAAAAAACTGCTACACTTAGTAATGCACACTGAGGGAAGAAGTTTGTAATTTGCAAAGCACAAGCAGTGACACAGAAGCACACTGCAAATCAACTATCACTATCCTCACCGTCAACCTGCTTTCATCATCTCTCTGATTTGCTTACTTCACATTTTGCTCTTTGCAAATAGCCCTCAGAGTAAGACCAAACTCTAGCCCCAACCCTTTGCCTAGTGATTGTTAAAGTTGTGGGTGGATTTACATCAGTTACAGTGGAAGCTGTCGTAACACAAGCCTCTACACTAGTAGTTGTTCGACTATTGCAAATGATGATGGTGGTGGCTCTGATGATAGTGATGATAGTGATAATGGTGGTGGTAGTAGTCATAGTAACAATATACAATGGTTAGGCTACTTGTGGCACTGGTAGCAGATGGTGTTACACCTGTCTCCATTGGATGAGGCAATTCAAAAGCAGCTAGAGATAGGCTTAGACAAGATGGAGACAATGCAGGAGAACAGTGCACATTAGCTGGAGAAAATAATAGACTGTTGCATGCCCTGTCCTTAAGTTCATCACAATAAATAAATCTCTCTCTCTCTCTCTCTCTCTCTCTATATATATATATATATATATATATATATATTGTTTTATATCGTATAGCACTATCCACATTTTGGTTTGTTTGTTTGTTTGTTTGTCAGATGAACCAAATTTTATTAATGTGACATTTTGGTTCAGATTAATTTTGCCCATGCAATCATTTCGGAAACAAAAGTGGTGCAAAAATGTGCCTATTATTGTAGTACAGTGAAAAAATGGTTAACAAAAGTACACAGAGAGTATACTTGTGCACTAAACTGTACTAGTGTAGACAGAGTTCACTTGTGTAGTAGAAATGGCACTGAAGCAACCTGCAAATCAAAAAATCTGTCTTCATAAGAAATAAAAAAAATAAATTCAATAAATAATTTTTAAACAGTGAATCAAAGTTGGTTGTAAGGTTGTCACCCAACCATCAGTCATCTTTTTTCTTATTAATAATTTTTTTTTTTCATCTCTTGATTGTACAGGAATACAGCCCACATTATTTACCAGACCTCTTGTCCATCATAAGAAGAAAAAAATCTGTGGAACAGCAGGTGTATCGGCACTTCGCCAATAAAAATCACAAATGGAACATTCAGTCAGTTTAGATTGATTTATTTTATTTTTCCCACATATGATTGTTTATAGAAGACAAATATGTGGGAACTACTGCATGTGGATTCAAGTAGAGAGGAACTGCAGCAGTGGGACATAGTGTCCACCCGATGCCCTCGCTCAAGACAGGTGGGTCCTATAATTAAAATAAACAGATGGACATATCTCCCTGTCCCCATGCAGTCCCAACTTATTGTCAGCAGGTGAGTTCTGTAATTATGATAAAGGGGGGAACTTTTGTACTCATTGTAGGTGGGTGAAGGCTCTAATATTAATAATAAACTGTGGAGAAACCTAATGAGATAAGGTTTTCTTTTTTTAACTGTTTTTTTTTTTGGCATGAAGAAAAGTTTCCAATAGAAATGATACATCTAATGGAAAGTATATATATAATTTTAAAAAGTATTATATTAATTGCCCCTTCACTATTTTTAGTGTAAGGGTGGTAGGTAGAGTACTTTCTAGGGGGGAGGGTTAGGGAATTGCAGGCCTCTAGCCACCCGGGAAGTGTACATGTTCATAATTTTCAGGGGGTGGACAATGGTATGCCCACCACCTTTCTTTTTTTCAACACCCATGAAAAGCCTATCTTTTACCAGTTCGATTTCCTTCTAGACACATAAATGTTCGAAAACATCTCCTAATTCTTAGCCAGCAGCATCCTCAGTTACCCATCAGTGACCTATATATTTAAATTATACACAGCAATCACCTAACATTACAAAATGTTATCAGGTTTCCATATATTGGCAGACACAGATGTTTACACCAGCAAGAAGATACTCATGCAGTTGTTGTAATGATTGGAATTCCTACGTTCTACAAATGTTTTTGTACTGTGGGTGCTTGACTTCCTGTGACATTAACTTAGATGAACATACCCTATCACCACACATAGCAGATTTGTTTTTATGTTGCTATGTTTTTCCGCTGCATGTTTACATCTTATCTGCAGTCTTGGCGTCACTCATTTCTATCTTTGGTATGAAACCTGCTAATCAGTCTCTCTGTTTTATTATGTGCCTTCATTACAAAGTCTGATGCCAAATGATTGTATCACAATGTTTAAGAACATCATCAGTAAACTTAGCTCTTTTTTTATATTATAAACCATATAAAGAAATGAATGCAATTATATTTTGTTTAATTGAAGCTTCATTTTGTGTAATGTTAACAGTCCAAGAACGCAATGTAAAACTTGTCCTAATAATATGGGTAAATATATCTAAATCAAAGACAGTTTTGTTTTAAATCTAGATCTTCATTGCAAGATGCTACTGATAATATACAATGTGGATTCAGAAGTAGGCACCAGGGTGAAGTTCCTTGATGCTATTTTATTTCTTATGTTACATTTCAATTATAAACCATTTTTTCATGATACGGTACCTAATGCAACTTTAAAATAGCAATGTAATATCTTTTTAAATACATTTCATTGGAGGATTGATACACAAAAGAGACATCCAAAACCACCAAGAAGCATAAAAACAGCACCAGGAGGATTCAAAGTCAGCTTGGATAAACAATAACCAAACTTGCACAATAGACTCAGGGCAAACCACAGTTAAAAGTCAAATGAGTCAAAAGTAAGTGTCAAGAGATTCATTTTAAAAAATGTGGAGAAATGTGTGGATAGAGATGCATGAGAAGTGGCAAATGTGGACAAATGGGAGAGACCACTTACTACATAATAACTGCAAATGTATAAACATCAGGAAATGTATATGATAATAAGCCTCCTCCACGGGAGCCATATTTGGTCATTTTTTCCTACTCATTCAGAATATGGAGTCTAGCAGTATGTTTCTCCATTGTGCTTTTGAATGTCACCCTATTCTGGATATACTCATAAGTGGAGATTGAGTTACGCCACTTTTGTAGACGGTATCTGTCTAGAAAATGAGCAACAACCTTCCAGATCAGAAATAATTTAGAATTATCTTCTTAATATATATTTCAACACTTATCTGAAATCTAAGAAAGATGGACATATACAAAGTCAGATCATATTTTCTTCATAAAATTATTTATGGCATCTCTACCATCGTAACCCGTCTGAGTCCAGCCCCAGTATCTTGATGTGAATAGTTGCTTGGGTTGTTAAAAGCATCTCCAGCTATCAATAGTTTTGATGGAGGAAATTGCAGAACTAATCATGACAGACACAACACATATTTTTTTTTTTTTTGCGAAGACACAATTATTATAAGTCTGTATCTTTTCAACGATTCAGCCTTCACTACATTTAACTATACCATTTGAAGAGGGAGGTATTTTTGCAGGCACAGGCCACCCTCCATGACCCATTTCAACCTGTACAACTATGTGAAACAGTTTATTATACTAAATTATTCTCGTCAGGGGGAGATCTTCTGCTCTCCAGCCTAACCCTTACCAATTAACAATATTCTTCTTGGACTGGTTCTTGGACTGATTCTCCTTGTCGAAGTTCAACAAAGCTGTTATTCCTGTGGTGCCTAATTGCCACCCTAAAATTTGAAATTCCCTGGTCAATTACTGTCAATTTCGGATTTGGTGAAGAGCCTTGTCAAAATGCAGCTGCAACCATGAATGAAAAAAAGTTTGCCCTCACATGTAGTGCAGATCACAAGCAATACAATTTACTTTTTTTTTTTAACTGTTTTATCAAGCAAATACTAAATTAGCCTAAAAACAGTTTTTCTTTCACTCGTAACTTACCAAACTTGACCTTGAATTAAAAGACATTATAACTACATTAGGCGGTGGGTGGTTAAAAAAATAACTGTTACTTAACTAAAGTGCTATATACTTAAAAAAAGAAATACTGCATAATATAACAGATCTTTGGGAAGTCTCAACCATTGGCATAAGTTTCGATTTAACACTATAAGTACCAGATGGGTCAGTAGGACATTAAATTTTTTCATACTAGGTACTCTCTTTGACACTTAAAGTGTTAAGTATCAGCTTTTCAACTGACAGGCAGCCACGTGATGTCAATATATCTTTCTGAATCCGGCATCTTGATTAGTCTCTGAAAGCTTTCCAGGAAAAAACTGAAACATGGCTATGAATCATTTCTTATTCCAAAGGGGGTTGTGATTCCCTTATGTTTGTTCTACCTCATTTCTTGTATTTTTTTATTTACCCAACCTCCACAAATGAATCTCAAAGCGTAGTACCGCGGAGAATGAATGTTTTCAAATTAAGTGAAACACACTGTCATTGGGCTATAAATAATTGGAATAAGCAAGACATTAAAATTACTATTATGTTTTAAACCCAAAGATAACAGATTGGGAGTCACAGATTTTAAACTTAAAGGGATCCTATAGTGCCAGGAAAACAAAGTAGTTTTCCTGGCACTATAGGGTTAATAGGCCCCCCTTCCTCGGGGGCCCCCTCATGTGGCGCTGAAGGGGTTAAAACCTCTTCAGCCACTTACCTGAATCCAGCATCGATGTCCCTCTGCGCTGGTTCAGGTTCTGCCCACACTCCTCCACAGCCGACGTCAGCTGGTGGGGGAGACCGAATGCACAGGCGCGTTAAGGTATGCGCGCATTATAAAATCTGACGCTGGAGTTCCGTGAGGACATCCAGCATCAGATAACAGACCAAAAGTCAGTTTGAAATCTGGATGCCCTCTAGGTGCTGTCTGTTAGACAGCCACAGAGGGCAGACTAAGAGCTGCAATGTTTTACATTGCAGCACTAAGTGCAAAAGGGTCACAGCACCCAAACTACTTCAATTAGCTGAAGTGGTCTTGGTGCCTACAGTGTCCCTTTAAGAAAATAATAACATGCTTCTTATTTAAACACACAAATTTAAGGCCTGTGCTCAAACTCCCATTACTGTTGGACAGCAGCAATGGTTATAGTGTTCACCAGGTCAAATACATAGAACAAAACTAAGAAAAAGGGGTATTCTTATGTACCCCTACACCCTTATTAACCCTTAAAGGATCACTATTGTCACCAGTGGCAAAACAAATGTAATAAGAGCTGTGGTGCAAGAATGTTTTTTTTGCCCCCTCTAACTCAAGGGTGGCCAAAATGTAGATCTCCATATGTTGTACAACACCCACAAAACTTTTCAGCTGGAGATCTACCATGTGGCCATTCTTGCAGAGTTATTTAAGCATGTTTTTGTATTGAATATGTTTTTGTTCATGTGTGTATTTATGTGTAGTTTTGGCATTTGAATGCAGTTATGTTTTTTTGTATGTACTGTTGCCATTTCAAAGCAGTGGTGAAGTGCAAGCTTAAATATGTTTGTACGTCGAGTTGGCGTTTGAATGATGGGATGTTTCCACATGCACTGCCCCACACATTCACACTGAAACACATAGATATACACATATACACACTGACACATACAGATACACACATATACACACTGACACAAAAAATGCACACATATACACTTTTACACATACGCACACACAGATAGATACACACATATACACTGATGCATATACACATACAGTGAGGGGAAAAAGTATTTGATACCTTGCTGATTTTGAACATTTGCCCACTGACAAATAAATAATCAGTCTATAATTTTTAACAGTGAGAGACAGAATAACAAACAAAAACAAAAATCCAGAAAAACGCATGTCAAAAGCGTTTTTAATTTGATTTGCATGTCAATGAGTGAAATAAGTATTTGACCCCTTCGATTTAGTATTTGGTGGCAAAACCCTTGTTGGAAATCACAGAGGTCAGACGTTTCTTGTAGTTGGCCACCAGGTTTGCACACATCTCAGTAGGGATTTTGTCCCACTCCTCTTTGCAGATCCGCTCCAAGTCATTAAGGTTTCGAGGCTGACATTTGGCAATTCGAACCTTCAGCTCACTCCACAGATTTTCTATGGGATTAAGGTCTGGAGATTTGCTAGGCCACTCCAGGACCTTAATGTGCTTCTTCTTGAGCCACTCCTTTGTTGCCTTGGCAGTGTGTTTTCAATGCCCTGGCTAAGGGAAGGAGGTTCCTCATGCAAGATTTGATGGACCCGTTCATCGTCACTTTGATGCATTCCTCTTCCTCCTAACACGGTGAGTTGAGTTGATGCCAAAGAGCTCGAATTTGGTCTTGTCTGACCACAACACTTTCACCCAGTTCTCCTCTGAATCATTCAGATGTCCATTGGCAAACTTCAGACAGGCCTGTATATGTGCTTTCTTGAGCAGGGGGACCTTGTGGGTGCTGCAGGATTTCAGTCTTTCATGGCGTAGTGTTTTACCAATTTTTTTCGTGGTGATTATGGTCCCAGCTGCTTTGAGATCATTAAAAATATCCTTCCGTGTAGTTCTGGGCTGATTCCTCACAATTCTCATGATTATTGAAACTCCACAAGGTAAGATCTTGCATGGAGCACAAGACCAAGGGAGACTTCCATTTTGTGTTTCTTCCATTTGCAAATAATTGCACCAGCTGTTGTCACCTTCTCACCAAGCTGTTTGGCGATGGTCTTGTAGCCCATTCCAGCCTTGTGTAGTTCTACAATCTTGTTCCTGACATCCTTGGACAGCTCTTTGGTCTTGGCCATGGTGGAGAGTTTGGAATCTAACTGAACGATTGCTTCAGTGGACAGGTGTCTTTTATACAGGTAATGAGCAGAGATTAGGAGCACTCCCTTTTAATCGGAGCCATAAATCTTGCTGATTGATAGGGGGTCAAATA